GGGGGGGGGGCGGGGCAGTTGTCTCAGACAGCACTAGGAGGAAACATCCCATAAACTTACTCTGCTCTTATTCTCACTCAGAGATCTGTTTATGGGCTCTGTGAGAGATGCACCAAAAGTCTCCGCAGCCTAGCACTCTAGCGTTACTTAGGTGTTATGTTTTCCTCTATCAGAAGACACCAAAGCAAGGTTTGGGCACTATTATCTGGCTTTCTCATGCTCAAATATTCTCCCCATACTACGTAACAGAGAAGTTCAGTCCACACACGCAGCCTGTAAGGGAACACTTCCCTCCAGTGGTAAAGCAACAAGGCATTATAGGAATAAGCAAAGTAATTAGAAACTCACGCATTTCTGGAACATGTGAGAGAACATATTTAGCATTAAATATTTGTGATACAAATTGACTTCAGATTGCTAAAATCCACGCCACACCATCTTTGTACTTTGCATTACTCAGACTGCCAACAAATTATCACCTTACGGGTTAGTAAGCAATACTGACATAATGCTGCCAAAAATATCCTCTACAGCAGCATGGCTTTTAACTGAGGCATGGCCTAAAGCTACAGGGCATCACCATTTCAGGTCAAACTACAAGACCAGCAACAACTCCCTCCAGCCACTCTCTACTGAAGAGAAAGATAGCATACTAGGTATCTTACATCCCTTTTTCAATGCGTCACTTACGGGCACTGTGCATCTGCTGACAGAAGAAGTTTTCTGGATTTTGAACACAGGAAACCACGCCAGAAAATGCATCTCCGATACATACGGAGACACACTCTGCAACTGAATTAGCACAGTGAAGAAATTCTTCATCTTCAGGTATTTTTTCTTTACTTCCCTTAGAATGGTTTTCTGACTCTGTACATTAAAAAAAAAAAAAACCAACCCAAAAAAAAGCCACACAAACAAAAAAAAAAAAAAAAAAAAAAAAAAAAAAAAAAAAAAAAAAAAAAAAAAAAAAAAAAAAAAAAAAAAAAAAAAAAAAAAAAAAAAAAAAAAAAAAAAAAAAAAAAAAAAAAAAAGGAGGTTGCTCATCAAAAGCTAGATGACTTTGAAAATTTAAACATGCCGAAGAGGTTTATTCTTTTTGCTGACTCTTTGGACTTTGAAGGCTCGTGTCATATTATCCATGAAGTTAATGCTCACATAATCATCACTAAACAAGTACTTCATACTATTAAAAAGCATATGTGCTACTGTCACTAGTGAACTGAAGGAAGCTGCACTAGCCAATGTTTTTAAGTAGGAGATGATGCTAATGAACAGCTAGTGTATTTACTACGTTCAGAGTATCATGCAACATGGGAGGACCTAAAATTGCCCAAGTATTCTATTGTTAATGGTTGGACTGGATGATCTTAAAGGTCTTTTCCAACCTAAATGATTCTATGATTTTCTGTCTCTTACTAATAAGTCTGATTTGCTTGCTTACCTCTTAGAGAGTCTCCTCCTTTGTCATTACTTCCTAGAGTTAAATCAGACTTAATTTCTGAAGGCACTTTATCTAGACAGTCTTCTAGGTAAGATACAGATTAAATACAGACGTAAGAAACAAAGTTAGTTACCATACAAGATAGTCATAATTTAGTTTCATTTCAGAACCATCTTCTGAGCCTGACCTATATCCCTATCAGAACGTAAGCACGTTTACTTATTTGTTGAGCACTTAATATGGTTAGAATGCAAAATAAAAGTAGTTTCAGGGTAACTCAACTACTTGAGTTTTCTGAAGAGATTCACAGCTCCAAGACTGTTCAACTAAATAAAATGAGCAAAGCAGTAACAATCAACATTTACTCGTAGTCACTAAAGACTGTTAGCTGAAAAACTGATTATAGCTTTTCAGACACAAACATCCATAACTTACCTCCATATTTACAATACTGAGTATGCAATGAGTTACCAAGATTCACAAAGAAATCTTGAGTTGCTTAGCTATTACATATTCCATTTCCAATGCATGAAGCAGTATTCCAAGCTTTCAATATAATTATTTTCAACTGAAAACCTGCATACAGGTGTGTAAGTTGCTTGTAAAGTCATGGAATAGATGCATGCAACATTTCATGAATGCAATGATATTTTTGTGATCTTCTCTCCAAGAGGTTTGCAAGTTATATTGTTTTGCCATTAATGTGCGGTAAAGCACATCAAAGCCACCCCCTCAGCTCAACCGAAAATCTGAATTCAGATGCCTCAAAGGTCAGGTGCTCTGCTTGTCTCTATCCACTGAGGCTTGCTAAGTTAGAAATATAAACATGCTTAGAGTTCTCCAACTAAATAAAACAATATCCAGTGGTTGCACTTTCTTTGGGATACTTTTTTAGCGAGCATGTACAAAATATAACAAAAGCTGGTAATATCCTTAGTGGAACTAGAAACTGATACTACCATTTTTAAAGAGTTAAAAATGCATGAGATAAAAGGAACAACATGGTTCCAAATTTGCATGCATCTATTAAAACAGAAAAATAAGTAAGATAATCCAGAAAACACTGAATTTATTACAATTCTACTGGAAAAGTAACCTTAATAAAATTTAAGGTTATTAAGCTAACAAGATATTTCAGGTACAGACATTTTAAGATGACCTCTACAGGGAAAGGTGAAATAAAAGAAAACTATAAATAAATAAAATTAAAAAAAAAAATCAAGGGGCAGGTTGGGAGAGTGACAAGAGGGCAGAGAGCAAAAGAAAAAACCCCTCTTTCAAAGGTATTGGGCAGGGGAAGGGGGAGGGAAAGTGAACATTAAAGATTTATCAATTGTGTTGGGTTTTTTCCCCTGCACTACCAATACTCACCAAAATCTGGAAGAGCAACATCTACAGCAAAACTCAACATAATTTCCTCCTGTAATATGTCAACAACAGTTACTGAACAGTGCTTTCCCATGAGTTGGGAAGAAAAGCTGGTGGTGCCTTCATTCCGCCCTTTTTCTTTTGGATCATAATTAGCAAAGGAACACTTAATGGCCTGGAAAGAATTAAAATTAGAACAAGACGGGGTAGGGAGTTGTTTGCCCTGTAGAAAAAGTGACTAAATAATTAAGGCCCTCAGAAATATCGTCTGGCATATAGAAGTTAAAACTGCTGTTGGAATATGAAGCGCTATCAACTCAACTAACTTCTTTACAAGAGAGTTAAGAATTAGGAAATTCAAACTGTAAACTACATTTCCTCCGATTCTTCCACTATTTATGCTGTCCTGTGAAAGGCATGGCTGTATCACACATCACATCTGACCACAGGTGCATGTCCTAACTCGCCCTCAGCAGACACTGAGGGCTTTAAGCCAAGATTCAAACAGTTCTCAACCTTTTATGGACCCAGCAGAAAGTCATGTGAACAACCTATGGAAGACTATTCAAATAGTTGCTAGTTATAGTTGTCACCGTTTGAAAGAATGCTTCTCTATTCTTTGTGCATAGTTAAATTCATATTCACATTCACACAGTATGGCAATGAACTCAGACCAACAGCTCTCTTTACTCCAAACAAAGTTTGCCCAAACTACAACTGATTTTCAACTACTGCATGAGACCAGATTAGAATATGCAGGTAGAATGTTTCCCCTGCTGTCCTCTAGTGTATGAGGGACATGTGGACCCAACCACCCTGCAGGGGTTTTTTTCTAGGACTAGGAAGAAAAAAAGCCAGGTGGCCTTCCTCACTCCTGTGGAATAGCTAGGGAACATTTCAGGAGGTGAACTTAGTGTAGTATGGCAGGTTTTATGCATCACTTTCACTGAACACAAAATACTGTGATAATGACAGTTACACTGAAACACGAGTTACACTCACTTCAGAGCTATTAATTTAAGATACCTCAGCTACTGTTAGGAAAATAGAACTCACACATGGAGGAAACAACAGTTCAATGTCTTTGTGCAGAGCTTTAATGCAGGAGAGTGGAATATTTTCTTCATTTCCATAATCTATATAGAATACTTGTGCTTTCTTTTGCAATATATCCACATCTTTTACCAGTGCTCTGTTCCAGGTCTGCGTAAGAATAAACAATAATCTTAGTAAGAACACAACATATTTTGCTTTACTTCATCAGGTTTGTTTATCAGCAAAGGCACTGACCAATTCTGAAGCAACTCACATGAACACAACTCACTGTAGTGTTGACTGCTGTGAAGATAAAATTCTACTCCTATGGATATTAGCTACCGTACCGTAAATCAAGAATCTACTAACGATGGAGGAGAAAAAGGGGAAGAAATACAAAAAAGGGGTGGGAAGGGAAATGGGAACCAGATGTGGCTATAGAAATGCAACCAGAAAAGTCAGGTAAAAAAATGAAGTAAGACTAACTTCCTTAATTAAGCAGAGTCATATTCCAAACTGTTCTAACTACAGTAGTTTAAATTTGCTCAGAACACACACAGCCTTCAAGCAACAGTGGTACAAACAGTGCCTACAGGGCTCAAGTACATAAACATATAGAAGTAAACTTTTTAGAGGTGGGCAAAAAAAATACACTACCTTAAATTTTAGTTCCAGATGTTATAAAGCTAGTTACTACCACAATTCCACCACAATAAACTGATCTCTAATTAGCAGCCTTCACTGGTAGAGGCATAAAAGCAAAACATGATGAGCTCAACATAGAATGGTTATTTTATGGACAACCAGATGTTACCTGATCCAAAGAACACCTTGCAACGCAGACTTCCCCTTTGATGGCAATATATTGCTCTTGAATAACTGTGTTAGCATAACAGTCTTGCAGTTTCACAGAAAGTTTACTGATCTGGTCTAAAACTTCTGGAGAACTCATCTGTATATAAAATTCACTTGGACTCTTGAACTCTGTTACTGTGCCCTAAAGAGAAAAGCCACAGTAGATGATAATTATGCAAGAGCAACCTACAGTGTGTTATTCAGGACCAGTGTTCATTTCAATAAATGCATTTCACCCTGTACCTGATTTTGTTCTTTTGTTTTGAATCTAGCAGTAATTAACTGCAGGGAACAAAACCAGTGATGTTCACCTTCACAGAAATAATCTTCCTCACTTACTCCCCCGCCAGCCCCACTTGCATTTATGCATCTTTATAAAAATAAAGGAATTTTCCATGTGAGCAAAATGAGACAAAGAGCTGAGGTGACAAGCAGCTATATATGCTTAACAAAACTTCAAATGCAAACTAATAAAACATTGTAGGATTCTTCCAAAATAAAGTACCTGTACTTCCGTAGCTTTTTTGATCCCTAGAGCCTGGAGATCTGAAAACATTGTTTTCCTGATGTGCTCTTCTGTCTTGAGAGAATCCACAGAAGTTGAATTACCCTATTCAAAACAGCTACAAGTTATGTTTAAACTGGAGTTGTTCAGCTGTAGCTCCTTGTAGTAACAAACGAAAAAAAAACGTTTTAATCTTTTCAAGAAACATGTAAAAAAGTGCTTTTGCTGACTTTCAATAAGAAGTCTTACAGACTTTGTATTACTCTTGAAAATAACAGAACATTATCACAGAGATACACTGAACAGGCAATGAAAAACAAGTGCCAAAGTCTCAGAGATCCACCTTTTCCTTTCACACCTGTTTTACAGGACAACTCAGCTACATTTCCTGCTTATGATGCTCTCATAAGTAAGAAGAATTGAATTCCACCTGCTTCCTTGTAGCCTGAACACCACAGAGTAGATTATAGCTACTGCTTTAACTGCTGGCATCCATTTTTTAAAAAAGGCTAAACATTTAGTGTAACCTGCCTAATGCACACCATCTGTGTCTGCGACATCCTAAAAACATTAGAAAAAATAACCTCATACACATCCTTAGGGAAAAGCTCTTTCACATTTGGACCAACATACCACAGACAATGCACAATGACCAAGTGTCATGGTTTAACCCCAGCTGGCAACTAAGCACCACACAGCTGCTCACTCAGCCTCCCACCCCCCTCCCTGTGGTGGGATGGGGGAGAGAATCAAAAAAAAAAAGAAAGTAAAACCTGTGGGTTGAGGTAAAGGCAGTTCAATAGGACAGCAGAGGAAGAGAAAGTAGTAACAACAACAACAATGATAAAAGAATACACACACCAAGTGATGCACAATGCAATTGCTCACCACCTGCTGACCGATGCCCAGCCAGTCCCGGAGCAGCAATCGCTGCCCCCTGGCCAGCTCCCCCCAGTTTCTATACTGAGCATGATGACGTATGGTATGGAATAGCCCTTTGGCTATTAGGAAGGAAACAGATGTAGACGTGGCACTCTGGGACATGGTTTAGTCTAGTCTACCCTTGATTGGTTTAGTGTGGACTTGGTAGTGTAGGTTAATGGTTGGACTGGATGATCTTAAAGGTCTTTTCCAACCTAAACAATTCTACGATTCCTTCAGGCAGTTTGGGTCAGCTGTCCTGGCTGTGCCCCCTCCCAGCTTCTTGTGCACCTGGCAGAGCACAGGAAGCTGAGAAGTCCTTGACTGGTGTCAGCACTACTTAGCGACAACTAAAACATCAGTGTGTTATCAGCATTATTCTCATCCTAAATCCAAAACACAGCACTATAGCTGCTACTAGGAAGAAAATTAACTCTATCCTAGCTGAAACCAGGACACCGAGATTACTGTTGCAACTGCCAAATGAGCTGTTTACTTGCAACAAAGATCCTTCCAGATTTTCCATAAAAACACATCTCACAGTACAATAGCAAAATACGTTAAATATTGTTCAATATGCAATATAAGCTCTCTTGCTTCTGCAGATCCTGAGTTTCAGAAGATGAACCACAGAATAAAAAAACCTTCTGGTATTTCAAAATAAATTGGCTACAAATTTTTTATTCATGTTGTACTTCCTCTTGATATAAAGGTCCCTCACTATCAGTTGATCAGTTTTATTAGAACACAGTCGCAAGTACACACACAGCAGAAACTTATCAGGATGAACTAACAGAAGTCACAGGACCCAAAATGAAGCCTCCTTTCTAAATTCCTTCAAAAAGTTAAACAGATGAATGAGCTACTTCAAAGAAGCACATGACGAAGGAGTTTTCTTGTACAGCGCAAACATGAGGCTAGTTGGAGGTATGCACATTTACTCGCTTTCATAAATATCATCCCAAGAAACCACAAAGACAGCAAAATGATCTCCTGCAGAAGAGTTCACAGGAAGACTACAGGAAACGTTTGGCTGAAAGTAAGATCAAGAGAGGCTTCAAAATATTACAAAGGAGAACCGCATTATGTTTAATTACTGCTGCAGCAAAGAAACAAACGCTTATCTGCATCTGTTACTATACAATACTACATTAAATGTATTTCTCAGATAAGTTACAAGGCTCCAAGCATCAGCTCATGATCTACACAGAAAACAAGACACCAGACTTTTTCTGAATTGGACAAGCTACATCTGTCTCCTTCCTAAAATATTTCTCTAGCAACCATCATACATATCTTGATTTTAACTTTTTCACAAATTGTTTTTCAAACAAAAACCGAGTTGTCTGATAGTGTTCCTAAGGGCTCTAGAAGTAACATATTTTTGAATGCTTCTCCCAGTAACTTTTGATTTGAAGCACTGATCTTTCTAAAAGGAGTAGATTATAATATTTGGAACTTGTTCCTTTCCTGTACAGGTTAAATTAAGCACATTGCAACTAGCTCGCAGCAGATCCATTCAAGATACAGTGAAAATTTTATTGTATACCTTAAGATAAACTCCCTTCTTGGTTTTAGCAGGTAACTTGCCTCCATCCTTATTACTTACACTGTAATCAGAGAAAAAGATGTTAATTTTGAAGTACCAAATACAGACAAGTAGCATTCACAGCACCTACTTGCAAATAGAACAAAAAGGCTGTGTTCACAGGATGTTGTTTTTGTCAACCCTTATTCCTCCTCCAAGAAAATGTAGAATGGCTAATTTGTTAGTTTCCTGTCATGCAACATCTGGTGTGTTTTTCCTGATGCCATCAACAAAAAATAAATTAATTTCTGATTAAAATGAAGAAGAAATCTTATACTGTTGTTGTGGAGTTCTGCTAACACTGTAATCCCAAGTCAACCTTAAGAACTATAAAATCACAAAAAAAAAAAAAGGTTGCTATTTCAGTTGAATACATAAGTAATATCCGGATAACACATATGCCAGATTGTCCCCATGTCCCTGCCCATTCAGTCACTGTAGCAAAACTTGCGGGAAAAAAAAAAATCTCTCTTGTAAACTTTGATTATGGACACCTGGTTGCAGATTCACTGAACTGCAATCATCACTCCTGTTAGAGGTTGTCAGCTTAAACACTCAGATCACTCCCCTAAACTGTTCCAAAGCCAGCCAGTCAATTTGTACCATATCATAACCTAATGGTCCTTACTTTAATTGAAACAGACTAGGGAGTGATCTCTTGAGCATCTAAACTGGCATGTCAAAGATCAATAATGAGTAGCTAGAGAATGGCCTGGCTGAGACAACTTCTTCCAATTGCAGCTGTGCTCATAGACAAAATATCCATGAAGTTCACTGAGGCTACAGTTAGATTCAAAGGGTGCGCCTTCAGACTCTGTTAAATGCAATCCATTAACCATGCCACTGCTGAAAAGCAGTCTCATTCCTCCTCCCTTCCCTACCTCATCAACAGCACTAATGAAGTCATACGATAAGCTGGTATTCTTACTGCATGCTCACATAGTTCTGATGCAAGTAATAACGCTTTTGCTTGAATTCACACTACAGAACACCTTAAGAACTCCCAACAATATCTTTCAAGTCACCCTTCTAAAGCAGCAGAGCTGAGTTTTCTGACAAGTATGAGATAATGCAGTACTAGCCTAAGAATAAGCAACATATTCTACTGTAATAGTGCCGTTACATGGTCATTTAGGCTGTATTGGGAGTGGTATCATCTTTCTGTAAAGATTATTTGGCAGAACTTTTAACAAACTTACTTCTGTTTAACTGGCTCACATACAACACTATGTGCTGGCCAATCTTTCTTCTGACAATCTGCAGAGCAATAGTATATTTGCTTGCATTGTGAACATCTGAGGGATCCTAAGAAAAAAAAAAGTCAGAGAGAAACACCTATATCACAAGAAAAAAACAGCTGTTAAAATACAGACTCCATGTATTATTTAATAACTGCTTTACAAGACTGTTCCACTACCGTTCTAAGCACATACAAGTAGGTATTTGTATTCACATACAGCTATCAGACATTACTACCCCAGATGTCCCAAATTCCTTCTATACTTAAGAAAGGAAAAAAAATTGATTAAGGAAATGCTCTGTTTATCAGTTCTGCAACTCCAACTGTGTTCTGAATAGTCACTATACTTCCATCTGAGAGATAAACATATGCACCCATTTAAAGATATTTCTAAGCAAACCTTCTGATACGGTTTCACTGGTAACTATACTATACATCACAGACTACAGGACAATAGGCACTTACCAAACAAACCACAATGATGGCAAGTCTTCTTTTGAAGTGGTGATATTAATGAACTAAAGAGACTCTTATCATAGCCGATAGAGAAAACATTTTCAGAGGAATATTGCAATTTCTTCGGCTTCTCACAACTCAAATCAGAATGTGACACCTGTGGAAGAAAAATTTTAGGTGATTCTTACCAGAAAAAAGCTACCCATTAGGGTAGAAATATTCTAATATGCTAAAATATGACAAGAAAAAGAGTGAAAATTTCAAAGTTCTAGAAAGAGCAAGATACGCTGATCGCTTCTGCTATCTAAAAATGCTCAGAATATTTGGGGCAATTATAAAGTGCAATAACTCACCGTATTTCCTTTATCAGTTGCAGCTGTCAACAGCAACTTCCCTCCACCAGTTATGCCTTCCATGGAACTTCCTAGGAGCAGAAGTATTTGCAAAGGGATCCGATTTAACAATGCTAATGCACACCTGTGTTACGGAATATTTGCAGGAAGACACAAGGCTCTTACCTACTCCTACTATTCTGCTAGGACACTTGAGCAAATGGAGGTGCTAGGACCATGACACACTCTGGAAGTCACTTTTTTTATCACTCTGATACTACATTTATGCAAACCTACCATCAGCAGTATTATTAAAGCAACAGTTTTGCAGCTCTGTGCTTATGACTCGACAGAGGTCTTAACGTCCTCCATCCATAAATTTGTTTCAATTAA